AAAAAAAAAAAAAAAAAAAAAGCTCGACCTTCTCGTCGTCTTCTGCTCTTTTCCTCATTTTGCTCTAAGCAAGCTTTATTTATTTCTTTTTCCCTTGAACCTGCCCTGATACCTTCCCGCTCCCCACGATTGCTTCCTTCCCTTTGCAGCAAGGTTGGGGTCTGTTTCCCAGGCTGGTCCTTCCCACCTCGTCTTTGAAGAGCTACCACGGGGGCTCGCAGCTCCCGTAACCCGGTGGCCAGGCGGGCTCAGAGAGGGCAGAGCCGAGCTCCGGCGCAGCCCGGGGCTGGCGCGCAGCGTGCGCGGCTGTTTGCGCGGCCGGCGCTGCCCTGCGCGCTGGCACCGAGGCAGCTCCCCCGGCTGCCCGTGGTCGTCCCGCTCCGGGTGTCACTTCATCCCCTGACAGGGGAACCTCTCCCTCCCGGCTCGGGGTGCCGCTCGGGACAGCTCCTTAGGAAATGCCAGGGGGTTGTCACTGTCACCGCCCGCCCGCCCGCTCGGGCGGTTGCTACAGTCCTGGGCCGGTGAGGCTGTTCTTGTCCCGCGGTCCCTACGTCCTCAGCAATCCCAGCCTCGCTTCCGCGGCCTCCCCTCAGGAGAAGATAGATGAACTATCCTTTGTCTGCCGCTCGTTTTGGGCTCGGCCAGTTGCTGGCTCCGTTTTTTTTTTCTTTTTTTTTTCCTTCTCTCCCTTCCCCTCCCTTCTCTTTTCCTGGCGGCCACTTCCATGTGGAGTCGGGGCAGCTCGGGGAGCCGAGAGGAGCCACATTCCTGTGGGTGCCGAGCGGCTCCAGGGCTGAGCCACAGGGCCTGACACACACAGCCCTAACACACACAGCCTTAACACGCATACACGGAGCTGACTCCTAGCTACAGGCACTCGGTGAAAACCTTCCCCTCTGTCCCCAAATTGACGCTCTCTGCCCGGGCAGCGCTCAGCCAAGTCCCCATTCGGGGGAGCGCTGTCTCTTCGGGAAGCGCCTCAATCTCCCTCCCCCTCCTTCCCGGGGAAAAACACCCCCTGCGACCTGTCACCACGTCCGGCCAGCCGCTCGCCAGCCGTTTCTGCCGCCCTCTCCGTGCCCGCGCAGCCCGCGCGGAGCCCGGCAGCGCTTCCCGATCCCGCGCTGGCAGCGCGGACGGCAGCACGGGATCATAAATGGGCAGCGCACATGTGCTTTCGATTAAAGATTTTCTACCACGCAGTTTCGCGACTGACAGAGTTTAGGTGGCTCGGCTGCGGATTGCAAAAATGAGACCTATGGCTGCAGGAAAATCGAGGTTGGAGGAAGGAAGATACCCCTCTTCTTGTTCTCAGTCGTTTGAGCGGCTGCCTGCAGTAACGTAATAACCTTTTTATAGGTCAGAGAAGAGCCGTGAAAATAGGAACTGCGGAGTTTACATTGAGCCTCCCTCCTTCGCGCTCCCTCTTTTTAGGGAGATTCTGCGTTGCCTCAATTAAATGTTTCTGCTCTTTGTTCCGCGGCGCGTCTGTTTACACGCGAATTAGGAGGTTACACCGTGGCTTCTCTGCCAGAAACGCGGACCGGATGAACCCCGGCCCACGCGCAGGCCCCGCGTGTCCTGCGAGGCCGCAGGGGAAGCCCCCAGGGCCCTTCGCCTCCTTATCCCCCTCAGGTGACAACCCTGGGGAGCCGGGGCAGCCCTGCCCGCCAAGCCGGCCCTCCCTTCCAGGGTTTTTACAGCCCCCTCTCTAGGCACCATATAATGCATTTTATAGGCGTTCGGTACCCACCGATCCGGCCTTTCCCCCTCTTTGCTCTATTTTTACGGATATCCACAAAGAGCGAAGCGCAGCGCGGGGGCTGCTGCGCGAGGAGGTGCGGAGCTCCCCGGCTCCTCTGCGCCTCCCCGGCCTCAGTGCCCGCTTTGATGATTTGGCCCATTAGAAATGAGGCAGGTTTGTGCCGGGCTCATAAACGCTAATCAGGAGTGCGCAGCAAGCGAGCCCGACGAGCTGAGCTCGCGAGCTGCAGGCAGCCCTGTGCTTTAATTAATCACAATTAAGACGGTTCTGTACTAATGTCCTTAAGGGCTCCCGACCACAGCCTGTCCGCTGTTTGCAAAGGAGGCCCGGGCGCCACGGCCCGGTGCGGGGTCCAGACCGGCTCCCGCCACCGGTACCGGCGCTGTCACCGAAGCGGGGGGTCGGCCGCAACGAGGCGGCCCCGGGGCAGGGAGGGCAGAGAATGGAATCGGCGGGAACCCGTCTCTGGAGTCGGGAAGAGGCGAGGCGGGCGGCGCAGGGGTCCGGGGGCATCAGCCACACACACGCATCGCACCCGCAGCCGCGCAGGTTCGGGCACGTAGCGCTGCACACCCCTGATTTGCTATTTTCTTAATTCCCGCTCTTCTCGTTCCCTATGAATCAAACAGTCTTTTGTCCTTCAGAGTTTGATTTGATCGCTACTGTTCGCATTTCACTTTTGTATTTTTCTCTCCCTATACCATTACTCATTGAGTGCCCAGTGAAATTACAATCGTACATTTTCAACTCAGCAACCCATTTGCAGTGCAAAAATAGGGTCTAAATAATGGCTGAATTAGCCCTACTGGACAGTTTCAGATGTAACACTCTGTAATAATTATATTGCAGGCTGGATTAGGATGCTATTATCATAATCTGGACGTTTACAATTATCTGTAATTTGCAAAGATGCGCCAGGTCTTGATTACAGCATTTTTTTTTTATCAAGCTAACCATCACTAAACAGTGACAGTAATAACAGCTAATTTTGCTGGCAATATAAGAGGTGCTGGGGTGTGCAAACAATTTCACACCTGGATGTGCTCACTCAACCAAGAATATAGAGAAAGAGCTTCTGCCCTGAGACTCAGAAAAATGTTGCGCGCCGCTCTGCGCGGTGCAGGTTTGTAGCCCCCGAGCCTGGCCGCGCTTCGCTGGGTAAGTGCCCGGGTTTGGGTCGGGTCGCTCTGCTGCGGGGCTGCTCCAAGGCTGCTCCTTGCCTTCCTTGAAGGCACCGCGTCTCCTCCCGATGTTGCTTTTTTTGCAAAGCTCCAAAGTGTATCTGAACAAAAGCTGTTTCAACAGGGAAAGACCTTCTAGCACGCTCAGTAAAATAAACAGTAACTGAAGATGGTACATCATTCCTGCAAGCCAATTGACTGTCTAAAATTGTGCAAGCATGACACACTCATTTCAAATTCCTCTGCCGTGAGGCCGGGGGGAGGGTCTCGCTGCGTTTCGGGCCCGCGGAGCGGCGCTGCGCGGCTTTCCGCGCTTTTCCTGCAGGGGGGCGCCGAGCCGCGGCGCGCAGCGGGGCTGCGAGGCGAAGGCGGCGCAGGCTGCGCGGGACCCCGCGCGGAGCTGCCGGGCCCCATATATAGATGACGATGTTTTC